ACCCTATATAATATTGTAACCTTTTCCCTAGTACGTGTGGGGTTTCGCGGACAAGGGCAAATTTATGGACTATCTTCTAACTAATCCCAGTTAAGTTTCACGGAAAATTTCAAAACTAACCACTCTGTATCGCAGACTTTACAAGACTACTTAAGTGACTAGTTTCTGAGCTCGTCTAATGATCAGAAGATAACCGGTTCCTAAGAAACTTTAGAAGCTTTTTGGTCATTCCAAACTGAACCCACTTCTCCTTAACAGCTGGTGTTGATCAGTAACAAAGTTAAACAACATAACTAGATCCAAACTATTCCTTTATTTGGGCACACACCTAGATAGATGCGTCCCAATCTTAATTATAAACAATCAAAGAAAAAAGGTAATAATAATTAAACCCCAATTTCTACATAACAGCAACATCCTGTAACGAAAACAGTAGAGGCCCAAGTGTGCAGCCTTGTAGGACACCGTCAACACTGAAGCCATACACGGCGCTAGGTGTAGGGTGCTGGGTATCGTTTACCGTGGGATCATTGCCCAATGGGGCGGATCATTTATAACCACAAGACACCATGTAAATCGTCGCATTAACATAGCTCGTAATTGGACAAACCGTTTACGCCCGGAGACCTCGGTAACTCGAACCCAAAGGGACGTCCTTCGTAGAAGCAGTTAAACACATTTCCATAATTGTGCGTTGTTTGTTTACTGTAATGTCTGTTTACGGCACGCAGTGTCCGTTCCAGGGACTTGGCTTCTTATGTAGATGTCATTGTAACAGAACCTTTATTGAATACAAAATATGTTAACCTCGGGTTATAGAGGGAAGGGTCTGGTTAAACGCTATGTAAACATTTGTAGTTGTTCCAGGGTTTTAATTAAACGGATTGTGTTGAAATGGAAAACAGTGTTTCTAATCATTTTAAAAGCACGATTAAATTCTCGAGTTGTTAACTTTGGTGATGAAATAGAAACACGATGTTAATTCTATTTACACATTAAATACCAAAGTTGAAAATAAACGTAATCTAGATATAATAGAAAGGTTTACTTTTTTAACGAGTTTGGCTAGGGGGCCACAAGAAAAACATTTTTTACTAGGAAAGATGCAATTACAGTAGTTAATTATACTGAAGGAGAAATAAATGAATGGTAACTGTACACCGAATTAACATCACACAACATACCACTTTTATATAACATTCATTTTGAGTTGAAATTTGACCGTAACAATAAAGTAATGATGAAAAAGGAGCCGTCATAATTGACTAGCAGACTTTGTTTGGACTACACTTTGTTTTCTTAGTATCACTAATATGTATTACCTGTACGCATGAAAAAACATTTCAATAATTTAAGGAAATTACCACAAAAAGTAATAAAAACACTAAATGAACAAGGAAAATCGATCAATCGATCCTGTTCGCCAAACTTTTGGGACAGAAACGCGCGGTTTTAACGTTCCTCGAAGTTTCGAGAGAAAAGTATGAAAGAAATGTTTCCAATCGATTATGCTTTCAAAAATATTCACCGCCTTACGAACATTAAACTCTGATGAGGACGCATCAATCTTTGTCAAAACTTCAGTCACAGACGTTGCAAACTACTTGGAGCGATAATTTCTAGCATAACTTATTAACACAGTAAGTTTTGTTGACATAATCGAATCGTGCTATATTTTAAAGAATTTTTTACATTCTAGGACGATAGTCTCTAGCCCAGAACTGTTTTACACATTACCTTAGACTAAATCCCAGAGGGTTGCGGCATTGTCACTTGATAAAATAAATTGGCGATTGGCGGGATTTGAACCAAGGACCTCATGGACCAAATTCCCGCACTCTACCACTAGACCACTTCGCTTCCCATATTTTTAAGCAGACAAAATTGTCTTAACTATTTTAAAAGCTAATAGAGGTATAAAACAATGATTTTCTTTCTAATTGCTTAAGGGGGAAATGTCCGCTGTAACATTCTGTTTGAAAACTTTACTAAAAGATAACCGTAATTGTTTGTAGATCATTTACTTTGTCATATACAGCATCGTGTGGATTAGTTATATGGTTGTTTTGTGGCTGTTAATCGAGAGAGTTCTGCAACCTCTGGATGACCAAGTGGTTTAATTGCTCACTTTTAATATGAGGTTTTGATGGTTCGATCTCACTCGTGAGCAATTTTGTACCAGGTCACATGCTACATTGGCCCACCAATTATGATGCTATCTGACAAAAAGTCTTCTCTAGATGGTAAAAATGTTTGGACCGCTCTCATAGTAAAATGTAAAAACCCCTATGACATTGGAAAACACAAATATAAATATACATACAGATTTCCTCGCATTAAAATCCTGCAAGACCTTTTAGGTAGACAGGACATGAGACTGCAGTGTAAATAAAACTGTGCATACCGGATAGTAGATAGTACATTAACTAAATAAAGTACGTTAAGTTTTATTAACTGTTTCGTAATACCCGAAAAAATGGCGAATGTCAATTTATATCTGACCATGAATTTATTAGAACTTAAAGAACGGCAAAAATTATGAACGGAATCCAATACACAGTCCCCATTATGAACACACTACACAACACACCCCCTTTCGTAAACATTGAATGCGTAAAAACGCGAGTGGTTATCACCCTCATTTTATCTGTTGTTTCACGAACCTGTCAAGTGGCAGGCCATGTAATTGTTTATCAATGGGCGCCGGCCCTCACAAGGGCGCAGGGCGCAACATCCAGTAGGCACACGGCGCGGTGGGGCGTATATTGATCTGTCTGTCCGTCTACCATAGCCTTCCAGCCTGTTCACGTGGCTTTGGCAAGGAAATGACAAGCCAACCTGTTACTTGATCCTTATTTTTTCTTTTTCCCCACCTCATATCCTAGGACGCTAGGTTCTAGCCCGGAACTGTTTTACAAAATACTTCAGGCTAGTCCTAGACCACCACGGTGTTATCACATAAAATCTTGGTAATTGGCGGGATTTGAACCCGGGACTTCGGGCTCCGAAGCTTCGAGCTCTATCACGCTTACATCCTGGTGGGACGCTTTGAAAAGCCGACATACGTTTGACAGCTTTTGTCCATCCTCACGAATGTAGGAGTGAACACTCGGACATTTTTTAAGCTAGTCTGTGCTGTCATATCATTCACGTAAATTTTGCTTGGGGAAACAAGCTAAACTGTTACCGTACTTAATCACTCTTGCATTTAGAAAACATATTAGAGGAATACGCATGTACACGGCGTGGTGATCACGAATTCAGCCTAGCTATATAGCACAGGGCATTTTAACAGCAGGCGAAAAGGCTAAGTGTCTTGTAGAACAAGATTTATGATAATTTGACAATTGCAAAGTCTATAATTAAATAACGGGTTAGGTAAGACTTGGTGGCCGAAATCCTTGCTGCATTCCACCCACTCGTTCTAACTGTTTGAAAAAGTTGGACGGGGATCAGTAGAACCTTTTTTGCCAGTCATCAAATTTAAATTCAGTCAGGGTCTTGTCCAACCTGCATACCCAAGACAACAGATCTCACTTCACGAATCCCCCCTATTGAGCATAAACCAACAGATTGAAGTGAAGACAACAGACATTTTTCTAGATAAACTTTAACCGGTTAAGGACAATCGTAGATTATCAGCATACAAATACAGTGTGTATTGTATTGAGAGAGGAGTGGACTCAAAAGTCCTAGCACGTCAATCGAAGCTTGTTGTGCATAGTCCAATTGCCACTAACTGGGTAGGCCCATCTCCGTGACCTTGACCAGGTGCAGGAGCTTTTGCTCAATTCTGGTTCATCACCTGGCTGCTTTAGACCAAACAGAGCCCTTCTCCTAGCCCGTAGTCCATCGCAGTCCAGGATAATGTGTTTTGCAGTCTCATCGGACTAGTTGCAAAATCGACACTCCTGATTGTCAACGATTCCTAGAGTGTGGAGGTGTTTCCTGAAATGGCCGTATCCAGTGATAAGAGCAAGTACTTCACCTGCCCTCTGCCCAGCTTTGACAGCCAGTGAGTGAAGAGAGTGCTAGGTACTGAGAGCAGTTTCTTGCCAAGTGATTGGCCAGGGTGTATGGAGTGAACACATTGATATGACGCAATCCATTATCCAAGGAATCTCTGAAGGGAAACTATGCAAAGGAACTGCAACTATAGATAGAGGGATAGGGGTTGTAGAGATGGCGAGATTCTCGTAATTGGGCACACGGTACCTGCTGGGAACAAGATTTTAAGTACTGCCAGTCACCAGTGGCGTTTAGCTATACCAAAATACCGTGTCATGAAACCTTTTATGGGGCAAATTCAAGCTCTACCCATCGTGTACCCATAGTGTATCCATCTATGTAATAGTCAACTCATATTGGGCAATAGTTAAATAATGACTAAAACATAACACAATAGGAAACGAATGACGCACACTCTTCGTCACTGGAAATGAGCAGATTTTCCCTATGTCAAGATAAATTACGAAAGGCTTAACGATCAAGAACAACTGTGTCCAGTTCACTAAGTTATTGCAAGCCATTGTGCAATAGGTGACTATTGTACCTCTCTGTGTTTATCACATACAGTATTACAATTGTGGAGATAATTTACAAAAAGAATAACCTGTATGGACATTATTTGCATGTAGATATTTTCCATCACTAATATTGCACCACCTCCAATACAGTAAAGTCTATAGGCCTACTGGTAGAATTAGAGTGAACAGAGATAAATAATTTTAAACCAGTGAAGCAATCGAGTGTCAATTGCCGTACACTATTTTAATATACGGAACTTCGTCGATAAACGCGATAGGTGATATATCGCACATAGTATCATCAGGATCTAAACGACCCGACAAGGCAGTGGGTCAGTTTCTGCCGCCAGGGGGGGAGTTTTGGGGGGTTAAATTGGAGGGAGAGGGGCACGAGCGCTAACGCTACCCCCTCCCCCTCTCCTACAAACCAACCGGCAGTCGGCATCGGCATCGGCACTTCGAGTCTAGCGGTAAACCGGTAAACCTGTACAGTGTGGTAGTGTTCGTTAATCTCGGAATACGCGCCAAAGGATTAAGTGTAGTGTTGTGCTGTTTTCAAAGTGGAATATTGTGATACGCCGCACCAGTGATTATAATCTGTTACGTTATTGTGTCATGTGTTTTTGAGTTTTGAAAAATAACGGTGAGTTTCGAAGTTGTGGGAATAAATATTGGCGTTGGTTATTCACCTGTCTGTCCATGAACTTTCATGAAGGAGTATTTCAAAGTAGGAAGAATAATATTCATTTATTCACACATATTGAAATGTATAAATCATTGATTGAAATCGCTGATGTACATTGTTAAGCTAAAATACTCGAGATAGACCTAGTACTAAAGTACCGTTTTACTGTGCACTTCAAAAATTTAGCCATATATCATTATTTTGTTTAGTAAAATTAAGCTGTGATCTCCCACAATAATTGTGGTTAATGGTATTCATGACTCATGAGTCACTTCACGGAAGATTTGCCAAATTACAAAGTTATGTGGATACATCGTCATTTCATAACATTTGGGAGATTGTTTCGACATGTAGGCTATAAACAATGTGTACGGAATTCCAGCACAAACTTTTCATTTACTACGATCAGAAAGAAAGTCAGAGAGAAAATAAATCTCCTCAGAACGTTCGATTCGAGTAATTACGCTCCTGAGCTAATTTTTCATTCAGTAATGTTTCCTTATGTCTGAAGAAAATTAATTTAGGTACCCAATAACTTCTCTAAGACCTTTCGAAATTGCTTTTAGCTAAATTGCAACAAATTACCTCATTTGCATGACTTAATAGTTAATGAGGTCAATTGATTAGGCCAATATTATGATGAAAATCTATAACTGCTTCAATTTTTTTTTTTTACAGTTCAGACACGGAATTACTACGTATTAAACCAATATAGGGTTTTTTTAAAATACTTTCATGATAACAACCCCTAACTTTAAATAATTTCAACAGTTAGCAACAAAATTAATCAAAGTTGTATAAACTCAAAATTAATTGGATCTTAAAAATCATTTTCCTGTAATACCGGTAACACCTCTATACAGAAAAAAGTATTATCTTAAAGATTGTGAATTTAAAATCTGAATGCGTTCGTTGATTGGTAAACAAATTTAAAGTGACAGAAAATTAAATTATCACTATACGATCAAGTTTATAGGTATTCTTATTTCAAAAAGATATTAAGTTGGAAAACGTGTCACACAGATACGGGTACTAAATTTTATATGATTGCTAAATAAATGTTTTAACGACTAAAGCTATTAAACAAATGGAGCTACATAAAGACGATAAGAGTTGTAAAATCTTGAAACGATTACAAATCTGACGATTAAATAAATTCTCGACTCAGCAATGCCGCACGATTATCGTGCTCATTCCCTTTACGCTCCACTGCTCGATATTACAATGGGGGGGGGGGGGGGGGTAAAAACTCCCCCCTTCGACTATCCGTTTGCCTGTTAAGCCAGTTTGTGAGACGTACTTCATCCTTCATGTCACCTGTCTATTATTTAAGGTTTAAATGATCGTTTAAAGTTCAGTTTTAATTTCGAAGTACGATTTTGCGATTTTTGTATACTCTACCTACATGAATTATCCTCAGGAAGGGGTAAAATTCGAGTTTGTTTAGATTTTGGAGAGTATATTGACAAAAAATGGATTTGGAATATTTAGAACTATTTTTCCACTTAAATATTTAATAGGCCTATTATATCATTAGGCCTACCTTCTTTAGAAATCGATTAAAAATCTGAATACTACAGATTCATCCTTGGGACAAAAAGATGTAGGCCTAGATCAAATGTAAAACATCAGCACAATTTTGGATTTAAGTTTATTTAAAGTAAACATTGAATACAAATTAAATACACTTCCAAACCATTGATAATCTCTGACATTTCAGAAGAAATCGTATTTGTCTAAACATTACTGACACTGACGACCAATTAAAACTAATCCAACATCATCCAACACATTTAACATACCTTTAACATGCTAAATAAAGTATAGCAATTTAATTAAATTTATAATGAGTAATTTTTTTCTAATCAAAACCAATCAACCTTCGTAAGGTTGGATTGTAATTAAAACCCTTTATCCATTAGTGCAGGTAGATGATAGCATTGACTATACACCTCTACAAAGAGAGGTGTATAGTCAATGATGATAGGTGTATGAAAATGTTATATTAAATAGCTAATTTTACTGTAAAATGTTTAGAGGTTTTAACTAAATAGCACCTTTATTATAGCTTGTTTGTGAAATTCACAATTCATTAGCTCTTGGAAAAGCTAATTGCACATTTAAAAGCTTTACTGGAAATAAGGATTAAACTTCCGTTTTAGATTATTCCCCGCGCCTGCATTTTCGACATGCAACCCACACAGCATCAATGTTGAGCTTGCTGTATACACAAAGCGCGGGCGACTAGAGTTCACTTCACAACTCAAGTGCAATACTGTAGACAATTTTACTATCGATCAAAATTTCTAACGCTATAAATAATATGTATAATTATTTTAATTTGAAATTAATTTGTATTCAATAACTGATTCAATGATTGATGGCAAAAAGGTTGTGTTGAAGGTATTGAATTAAATAAAGTATTTGACAAGCAATAAAAATGTTCAACTAGGATATTCAGATTAAGACATTCAAAATAAGAGTAAAAGGTGATTTTGAGTAATAGATTCTGTCTAAAAGATATATTTAAATATCACATTCATTTACGGGTGTTAAAATTGCTTTGCTCAGATGTAGACCTACATTTTAATTTCTACTGGTTCTAAAAATAAATGTATTCTAATAATAGCCGAACCTGAAAATTAGTATTTCTTAAAGATATTTGTATTACAAAAACTTGCTTTGGCATAAGCCTACATTTGAAAAGCAAAAAAATTGAATTCATAATTTATAAAAACAATTTTATAACCATTGGCACTTTCATACTTTAACCATTGACTATATAAACACTAGTATTTATAGCCAATGCTTCAACACTTTAAAGTGCTATTTAACCTTAATTTGAGACGGGCATCAAACTAAATAAACGGTCAAAAGTAAAATATACAGTCCTATTATTTTACGTTTAATCAAAGTCATTTTAAATATTACCCAAACAAGAAAAACCTCAACCAATCAACATATATAGCCTTTCAAAAATACACTCAAACAAGTTACCCAAAATACTAAAACCGCATAGATAGGAAATTTATCAAATGTTCTCCCGCTATCAGATGGCTCGCAGCGGCTGTCTACTGATAACACTGGTGACCTTGAGTCTGACCTCTGCCAGTGATAACAGCGTCCACATCTACAATCAGTACCCCGACCTGCACATCACTTCGTCGACCTTGAGATGGATCGGAGACCAGAACGGAAACAGACCGGACACAGCAGTCGTCGCAACTCTGGATATAGTCTCTGGTAAGTGTGTGAGAAAATACATAGAAAAAAATAAATGGGTATTTTATCAGTTGTGTGTATATGTTACCTAACTCTGAACTTGCATAGCCTAACCTAACCCACATTATCTCTGTTGCTAACTCTGATAATCTCCAAGAGATAACAGGAGTAACAAAGTAGTGGATGAGTGTCCATATAACCTAACTCTGGACTTACATAGACTAACTTAACCTACATTATCTCTATTGCTAACTCTAATAATCTCCATGAGATAACAGGAGTAACAAAGTAGTGGTTGTGTGTCAATAACCTAACTCTGAACTTACATAGCCTAACCTAACCCACATTATCTCTGTTGCTAACTCTACCAATCTCCAAGAGATAACAGGAGTAACAAAGTAGTGGATGAGTGTCCATATAACCTAACTGGACTTACATAGACTAACTTAACCTACATTATCTCTATTGCTAACTCTAATAATCTCCAAGAGATAACAGGAGTAACAAAGTAGTGGTTGTGTGTCCATAACCTAACTCTGAACTTACATAGCCTAACCTAACCCACATTATCTCTGTTGCTAACTCTACTAGTCTCCAAGAGATAACAGGAGTAACAAAGTAGGTTGTGTGTTCATATAACCTAACTCTCAATTTACATAACTTAACTTAACCTACATTATCTCTATTGCTAACCCTAATAATCTCCAAGAGATAACAGGAAAGTAGTGGTTGTGTGTTCATATAACCTAACTCTGAACTTACATAACCTAACTTAACCTAACCTTTATCTCTATTGCTAACTCTAATAATCTCCAAGAGATAACAGGAGTAACAAAGTAGTGGTTGTGTGTTCATATAACCTAACTTAACCTAAATTATCTATATCACCTTCCTAATAATTCCTAATAGAAAATTAGGAACAAAGTAGGTAGCGGTTGTGGGTTCCTTATTACCTTTCAGCGAACTAATAATATATTATTTTACTAATAATATAACGTAACCTAAGTCTAGTCAGGCCTAATATCACTACTCAAAAATAATTTCCTGCGAATGTAAGAACTTGGATTTGTGAATTAAGATTCTAAGGTAGCTGTGGTGTGATGGTGTAATCCTAAACTAACATACCTACATTAACCTAGGTTGCCACTCCAAATTTAACCCTTGAGAAGTAACAGGAAAAACATTTGAAAATAAATACATTTTAAGTAGTTGTGATGTGTTGATATAACCTAACCCTGAGCTAACCTACCCTGCCTTACCTACTGACCTATTTCACCATCATAAAATAAGTATATACATTTAACTGGTATCACAACCTAATCCACCCTGCTACACCAACTCATACCAAAATTCTCTGTAGTTTCAGATGATTTATATTCGATATGAAAAAGTATATATAGCCATAAGGAAAGAGAAGTAAAATAATCCAGGGTAATTTAATTTAGTAAATCCTATAAACAAAAAGAATATCAGAAATAAGGTCTTTATATGTCTTAAAGGCCTCTCAGCACCTGGTATGTTGGGGGAGAGTGAACGCATCGATATGATGTAATCCAACGATTCTGTGAAGGGGGAATAAATTATATCAGAGGGTGGAAGATGCTGAGATGCATTATCAGACAGGAGAAAACTGGTTTAGTGATTATATCGCAAGCCTTCATTTGTGGGGGCACGAGTTTGAATCCTACAATCACAAATTATTTCAGCGATTGATTAAATAATGCATATACATTGATTAAAGTATAAACTGTAGGGTTGACGATCCAGGTATTTTTTGATGACACTACAAGCCTTGAGATTGATTAAATAGTGGACGCCTCGTAATCAGAGGGTCGCCGGTTCAATTCTGAGAAAAGGCAGAAACTTTTTCGGACGTGGTTCGTAATTGGACTGAGTTGTCCTTGATCGTTAAGCAGCTTTTGAAAATAACCCTGGTTATGGCCCTGGATAGAACTAGAACCAGTTGATCTTAAGTAACAAAGCGGTCATCTCATCATTCACTACTCATAATTCCCTCGTCTTTGCTATATATAAACACTCTGATGAGTCGGTGTCATAAACGTACAATCTAATCGGTTTACTAAAAGCTCACAAATAAAGTTCACATCCAACCAATTTATTTTAAGAAAATACAGTATATTATGTTGTGATAAACAAAATCGCAAAAAAATACCCTTACGAAATAACTAAGACAACGACCATGTTCTTCAACCTCCTATCATTTTGTACTAAACTCCTGCATAACTATTACAAACTCCTAATCAGCAGGTGTTTTACGAATTTTAACCCTTCTTTGAATCGTTGTCCACGAACTATGTAGTGTGATCATGATGTTATAAAACGTAAAACATGTTCCAAAAGAGTCAACGAGCTTCGTTAAAAGCCACACGTGCGAATAACGTGCACAAAAACCACCCGGCGAGGCTTTACGGCGCATTTAGCTGTGAGAGCATTGTCGTGGCGTCGGTGCACTTGTTAAAACCTCGTACACATGGTCATAAAGGTAATGCGGTATGGTGTAAAAGACGCTATTAAATGACATTTTTCACGTTCACGTTTTTATTTACGGTCGTGTTTTATATCATTGAACGACCTGTGCGTATATTTAGTAAGATGAAAAATAATAATTTGAATCTGTAAACAATTTTTGTTTGACGTATTACGTGTAGGCCCTAATCTGTAACTTTTAATATAAAACTAGTGCATATGTTGCTCGAATTCGATAATGTAATCAATCACTCCAGTTATCGCAACTGAAAACGAACGCTCTTGTGTGTATCGTGTGTTTACTATGAACAGCTGATTTAGTATGCAATTCATTAATACAAATTATTCGTCTGTTCAAATAAACAGAATCTTTTCTTCATAAGAAATACATTGGGATTTAGATGGTCTGTGGGGCTCAAGGACCTTTATTACAGGAATTGGTGAAAGGTGCTACACAAAAAAATACTTAATTTTGACACAACGTTTGTAAAAATCCGTCCATTATTAATGCAGGAGTCGTGTTTCGTAGAAATCACCTTCACGTATAAGGATTGTAAATTTTCTTATTCAATCATCTGTGAAACAATCAAACTAATAACTTTATCAGAATGTTTACGTGGTGAATGTGGGTCATATAAAAAAATAACTTATTTTGTTTGGATACTAAAAATATTTATTTTCAAAAGAACTTCCGATCAAAAAATTCAAATGAGGCATATTTCTATAACAGTAACGATAATGTAGGCCTACTACAGGAAATTGAAATGGACCAATTAAATCACTAATTCTTTAAGTGTACTATTTTCGTAACTCCGTTGTGCCAATTTATTTTACTGCAGTATTTCGTGCATTTAATACCTGTATACACGTATGTAAATGGAATGTTTTAAGTCAATATACTTATTGTGAATGACTACTACAGTTAATTCTAGTTCGTCGGAAATGGCATTTAGACGACACATATTTCCAAACATATGTCTAAGTGTTAAATTTTCTCTGATGCAAAGATAATTCATGTTCTATTTTTTATGTAGACCTAAAGCTTAAAGGCAGGTTCTAAACTACCGTGTACATAGCTAAATCCAGGGTTTGGCGGAATTGAAACGAAACGTGACTTTACAACCGGAGTCCGGAGCACTGACCACCAGACATATAGTTGAATAATTAACCTTAAAAACTTAGCTTTTCTCTATCTAACCTGTGTGACATGCAGATTTTGGTATTCAAGTTAACAAATTAACGGATAAATTATTAGCAAATATTGGTATGCCTCGAACAACGAATTACAACTAAATTATATAATTCAATCCCTAATTGCAGCTCTATAAAAGTTTGTTAAGACTCACAAAATTACCAAGAAGAATGTGACGTTGTCACGGCAGGTTTTACAGGGTAATGGACTGTTTTCTTGTCAGTGACAAATTACGTCAAACGTTACCCCGTCAAAACTGTTCACTGTGAGACTCCGCGGGTTTTTGTTCCTTAAAATCTAATAACAAATAATCTATCTTGAAGTTTGAGTTATAACCACCAGAAATTTAGTTAAATGGATTCGAGTACTGTAAAACAAATTACTCAATGACTACGATATGGTAGTTGATAAATTAGATTTTGGCAAAAAAATCAATAATTCAAATACCGTAATAGTTTTAAAACCCCCTTATAAAGTAGTTTGTTAGGGGTTTTAAAAACAAAATTTTGACTGGCAGAAAAATCAGTCCTGATACAGATCTACGGAATCAAAGATAATATAAAAAGTAAAAATTAAGATCGAGCAACGTTTTTGTTTAGGTACAGTAGGTCTAGGCCTATATTGATTTTTCTAACTGACCTACTATTTAATAAATAATTATTCAATTGTACTTCACATTTTTGTCTACCTTTTAAGTCCCACCAAGTAATGAACATTGGGTATTTGGATTCCAAGAATAAGATTTAGAGGAGATTCGCGTAAATTTACCTTTAACAATTATTTAAATAGAGTCCACATACGACCGATTTCTAAAATACACAACTGTTTGTCAAATTGTATATGATTAATTCCATTTCGAATATCAAGTTTGAATCAAACAATTTATGAAAAATTTGAAAATATTTCACAAACTGAACGGAATTCTTTGTGCTAGGTCAGCTAAGACAGAGGGTATTTTCCCGACAAAGTTGGTGTTCTTGTGTTCTAGTTTATTGCACAGTCTTCGACCCGACGCAGAGTTTCCCGTTCGATTTACCCTTGCTTCTGATTTTCAATAAACTTCCATTGTCGCAATATCACATTGGAAAAAAACTTATTGACAAACAGAGGTTTTAGTTTGTAAAGTCGTGTTGGAATTTACCATAGTAAATTAGTGTTTTATTTTCTTTGGTTGTGAAACAAACAAAAAGTAAATTCAATCAATAGTTTGTTTTATAAAGTTTTAACAAAATTACTGTAAAATAGGATTTGAAATTCAAATGGCTGCAATAAATTCTAACGAACGAGTTTTAAAACTGATGAATCTGTTTCAAGCTAAGCGGAAGATTTCGTTTCAAACGCA